CACAAAAAATACAGCGCCAACGCGTCCGCACTTCGGTCGCATAACCCTACTCAAAGGGAGGTTCAGCCTGCCGCACCGCCGTGACCAGCCTAGGACAAAGCCTTGGTTCCACAAGTGGTCCCAGGGGTAACCCCACAGGCGCAGCACCAGCCTAACACTGAGGCAGAATGCCCTCAGCATCGGCTATGGCTGCCTCGCTCCTCACACCACTATCGTGCCGATCGCCAACCTCTCCAACAGAGTCTCCCCTCAACTCCCTCAAAGTGGCACAACATCTGGCCAACACTCAAATGAGTGAGAGCACCAGCAACATTGCCACATTTGTGAGGCAACAGGGTGAAGTGCTGGCTCTTATAGCTGCTGTAGGGTGGTAGCTAGCACTCTGCCCACAGGCAAAAATTGTAGCTCCAACTGAGCCGTCGATCTAAGGCAAGATGAAGGGCCCAATGTGGCCGCACCTCAGCCACACCCTTAACGAGGCAGTTACTTTCAACTGCCTCCTTTTTATTTTTCCCTTTCACCTAGAAAGTGCAGGTACGTTGAAGGACTGGCTGTACTCAACCACTTTTCCAATGGCCCTGCTTTTGCAGGCTCTGCCTGAATGGTCACACTCAGGCTCAAATCAAACTGCATCTAGGCCACAATTGCGGCCGCATTCGCAGCCGTTGCCCCTTCCCCTTCTTTTTCCTTTCATTTTCTTTTTCTTTTTTTTCCCTTTTTCTCTTTTTTTTGTTTTCCCTACCTTCTCGTTTCTCTGGGAGGGGCAGCTCGTTTTTTGAAACGAGCAGCCTTCCCTTCCTACCAAGTCATTTCACAGAGTCGAACTAGAGTCAAGCTCAACAAGGTCTTCTTCCCCCCCCCCTATCTCGCGCGCCCGTACCCGGGCGCCAATGGTGCCAGGTACGGGCATTGTTCTGCAGCCCGTTCTCCAGATGAACAGGCGCAGACTTCGCCCACAAGGAAAAAAGGGGGCGATACATCCGATCAATGGGAGTACCCAAAGGCCAGCCGCAAGGTTGGAGGCTTACCTGCTGCCGACGCGTTGCTCTCCCTACCAGCCGCCACGTTGGAGACCTACCTGTTGGCCGTCGCACTGTTCGTCGTCGAGAAGCCTACAGACTGGTAAGTCTTCTCACTCTCGCTCTCTAGATGTATAGTCCCTTGTTCTAGCAGTAAATTCGTTCAATTTTGCTCATCCCTTCAATGGAACTCAGCCCGTTCGTCAAAACGAACGGGTAGCCAAACACCCCGCACAAACCAAAGAAGAGGGGGGAACGAAATCTAAACGAAATCTTAAAAAAAATCTAAAGAAACCTAAAGAAGAAGAGAAATGAAAAAAGAAGCATGGTAACCCCGGACCCGGACATCGGACACTTCCGGACTGTCTTCCTGACCAGTGTCTGGACCGGTCCGGACTGCCCGGTGATCCGGACATCACCGGACAGTCCGGACCGGTCCCCGGGGTGCAAAAATGTTCGGACCAAAAAAAAAAAAAAAAAAAAAAAGAAGGGGGATGTTTGTTGGCAGGCACTTACCTGCTTTGCACTCTATAGTTCAGACAGCAGAGCACGTGTCTTGCAGCAAATCAACCAGCACATTTAACTAGCAGACATGAAGAGTTGCAAACAGTGCAAAGCGGGCACAAGACTAAAGAAACAGAGAGTCTTTTTTTGAAAAAAGTAAAATCAAAGTCCATTACTTCATATATAACTTAGAAGTTTGAACTTTGCAGTTCACTTCAGAATGTCAGAGTCTCAAGTTCATAACTTCATATATAACCTAAAAGTTTGAACTTTGCAGTTAAATTCAGAACGTTAGGGTCTTCAGACTGGCAGCACTCTTAGTGCTCTCTCTCTCTCTCTCTCTCTCTCTCTCTCCAACAGGCAGCAGCGGTGGGCGCCATGTCGAAACGGCTGCTTTGAAATTGCTCTGGCCTGTGCGAAACCCGCCACCCTAAAAACCTGCATTGTCTTGTGTCCGGACCTCTAGGCCCTGTCCAGTGGGGTGAAACAACATAGAAAAATCACCCTGTTATTTTTCGAGGGGCGGCCAGGACCTGATAAACGCCCTGGGCCGCCCCCTTTTTTTTTTTTTTTGCCCCTGGGGCCTCCATCCGGACATAAGGATTGGACACCGGACACCAGACTGTCTAGAACCCGGTCCCGGTTCGGACGTCCGAATGGTTAGCATGAAAAAAAGAAAGAAACAAAAACTTACC